GGGGGTTGGGGACGGGTCTGTGGGGGTTACTAAGAACTGCATGGGAGGCGAACGAAACACACAACGAAACAAGTTCATGACTACATCAAGACTAAATCAAGTTCATGCCTTCAAACAACGACAATATTGAAAAGCATGGAGTCACTCGCCATCATTTGCGAACAATATTGATTGCAGAAATCTCAAAACAAGAACGTCAGAGGCCAACGACACAAACAACGAATCAACTGCACCATAAACACACGACAGTAAAAGAAGCATGAAGACTGAACTCAGTCAAACAATGTATGAAGAAAGTGTGCAATCGTCTGAAACATCAATAGACAAATAAAAGGAAAAAAAAAAAAAAAAAAAAAAAACTTGTATACGAATACACATGCAGTCATGACAAACTACACATACTGCACCTATGAAAATATGACCTCATGATCCTCATCTAAACAACTAAAGGTACTAAAAACAACTACGAAATAGAGGACAAAAGAGGAGCAACGGTGGGACTAAACATCATCGTCGTCCATCATGTCCTTCCTCCTCCTCTGCGGTGTCACACCTGTGCTACCATCCCCGCCACCTGTGCCACCTGCCGGCCCATGCGCCGTGTCCGGAGCATGAATCACTCCCTGTGCTGCCGCCTCAACCCCACCCCATGCTCGAAGAAGGTCGTATACGGAAACCTTCCTCCGCTGGCCAACAGGCATCTCCAAACCGTCGGTACGTAACTCCCAACCAACGAGTGTCGGTGACGATCGCTGTGTCGTCAATGCCCTCACATCCTCCCCCAATATACGTCCGACCATGCTCCTCCCAGGGGGAGAACTATCCGTGTCGTGCTCGTCCTTGCTGGTCGTGGAAGTCCTCCCTCCAGCACGTGGCATCACCGCCTCAGCACGTGCGGTCATGGGCAGCTTTGTCCCCCAGGTAGAGGCCTCGTGCCGCCAACCCAATGTGTCCGCGGCAACGTCTTCGCCCAATGCCTCCCAAGTCCGCGGATGTAAATCGGCTAGCCCAGGCCGACTCGCCCGCATCTGGTGGGTTACCCTCCTCACAGTACTAAGACTCTTTCCTGCTCTCATCTTCTTCTTTCGTGACTTGGGAGACGGAGATTCCCCAACAGGAGCCGATATGGGACTTGGTGTCAGTCCTGGACCCTCAGCACGTGTAGGTGGAATGACATCTGTCGTAGACGATGACACTGACGGGCTGCACGGCACATAAGCTGGACCCTCTGCCATGACCCTCCTCGACGCCTCATCCATCCGTCTGCGTCGATCTGCCCCAAGTGGGTCTTTCCTTGCCTGCCACTCTAACTCCCCCGTCGACATAGCTCCAGCGAATGGAAATACACAAACACCCTGAACTGCTGATGCAGGTCTGTCGCCTGCTTCCCCACCGACCGCACCGCTACAATCAACCTCTGCATCCTCCGTGGTACAATGACCTGCACCATCCTCCATCTCGAGCATACGCTCTACGAGTGCCCTAACCGCAATACTTTGTATCATCTCGCAATGCCTAGCCAACTCCAGCGCCCTCTACCTCCCCTCGTGGTCGGTCCTGTCGTGGTCCGCCTTTGACACTCCCTCCTGCACAGGTCGACACTCCCCATCATCCCCTACTGGATGCTCATGCTGCCCCAACGAACCCTGTGTCTCCTCCGCTACCTCCCACAGCATGCTGGTACTGACGTCACCCACGCTGCATGAAGGCATACCTCTAAGTATTTGACAGATGGGCGTAGCCTGTACGTCCGCACCACCACTACCGCCGTGATGCTCGCCTGCCGGTGTCGGAGGAAGCCCTAACGACGCACCAAAAATGTCATCACTGAAACTGACACCAAATTGCGCAGACGCCCCCCCAACCTCTGCAGACGTGCCACCAACCTCTGCGTTCGCGCCACCAGTCTCTGCAGACACAGTAGCAGTCTGTGAAGACGCGGCACCAACCTCTGTAGACGCAACAGCAACTTCCGTCGACTCGGCGGCAACCTCTCCAGACACGGCAATAACCTGTGCTGTCGCGACATTCTGATCATCCCATTGCACACTGCACAGTATGAGTGGAAGATGCAGACTCTCTCCTCGTCCGTCCTCCACCATCACGGCCTGCACCACCTGTGTGCCCCACACCCCCACGGCCTGCACCACCTGTGTGCCCCTCATCCCCAAGACTAGGCCCCCCGCCTTCCTTGCCGGCACCACTCCATCGATCACCACGGTGTCTCTCGGACCTCCGTAAACCGCCCGCAGACTATGTACCATCACCGCCCTCGTCGTTGTCTCCACGTGGACGTGTCGGGGAATAGCCAGGATCATCCTCGTCCTCACTACTGCCCTCGTAACCCCTCCTAACATCGTCGTCGTCACCCTCTTCAACGTTCCCCCGACTGCCCTGCTCGTCATGTCTACGACGATCGGTCGGAGGGTGAGGAATCATGCCCCCAACTCGGTCCTCAGGGCCTCGCAGTGGAACATTACGAGTGGTCGAAGGACGTGGTGGAGAGGGAGGCGGCGCAGGGGCTGCAGTGAAACCACGTGTCCGAGGACGCATCATCTCGGTGAGAGGAGCGTCGTCGCCATCCCCATGAGAACCTCCGGGCTCCGACTCCACCCAAAGGTCATCTGGATCAAACCACGGCTCCGCCTGTATCGGGTCCTGAGCCATTGGATTTGGCTCGGGATCGTAAACGGAGTTCACCTCTGTCGGCATGAGCACGGTAGCGCGACGACCGAGATATGTCTCAACGCTCGGTGGTGCCTTCGAAAGGCGATCCCTCTGCCCACGCTGCACCTGCCGGCCGAGCTGCGCCTCTGTGACTCGGTCTGCTGGTCGAACACCCTCGTCACGAGGCGGAGGAATAGCATCCTCTGCCTCCTCCTCATCATCTTCCCATGACAGAACGTACCCTGAACCCCTCCCCTGACACCGAATCAATCTCAAGTTGGTGTAGATCTCCACCAATCGAGTGAGCTTGATGAAACGAATCTTATTACGCCTCTTCACCTAAACACGCCCATGGACGCCATTGGACGGCCCAGTTCCTCTCCGCTGGAGAGGAGCACGTCCATGTGTGCGTTTGGCGAATAGCGTAGGTCTGAAGGAGAGGGGCCCCATCTCCGTGCTGCATCCACCACTGCCTGACCTGCGACGTCTCCTTCTCCCCTCTATAGGAGGTCGCGTCCTTATCACCTTCAACCCCTCCATACGTCCAATTGCCCTCTCGACTGTGGAACTCCGCCAGTTGCGTGCACAACGTCTGATACAAAGCCTCGTTATTGCCAGTCTGCTGGCGGAGGTATCACAGTGCCTCCTCAGCCAATGTCTTGTCATGCTCGCTCCGCCTCGCCGCTCCCAAAAACATGATGCTCCTATGGCGAGGGTTGAGGAGGTGGGCCATGCAATGTACCGGCTCCAACATACGATCCACCCGCGCCTGACAAGCCTGAATGATGATGTTGAACTCCTCCATCATCGTCCTCTTTAGTGTGACTCTTGCCACCCTATCAACCATGCCGAGCCCCCACGACCACATGCGAGTCATGACGCATCCCCCTCTGTCCAAACGATGTAGCAGCTGCATCACAGGCGTCATCACCTCCACGATGTGCTCCACATGCTCTTAAAATGGCGAGTACCACACCTAATGACGCATCCACTTAGCCAGCAAGAAAATGGATCTCCGCCATGCAGTCCCCAACCAGTCATCACTCATCATCAACGCCTCCAGCGCTCGACGACGATCCAACAGCCTCTCCAACATCAAATAGTGAGTGGCGAACCTCGCCTGCGCACGGTACACGATCTCTCTACCTCGCCGGTGAGTCATCGCAGGTGCAGTGCTGGAACTGGTCGCAGTTGCGGAGGCATACGACAGGCGGGCGACAGAGTACTGTCGATAAAGGCTGAGAGCAGCCCCGTACTCTCAGATGAAACGCACTACCGCTCGAGCCCTGATGATGGTATCCTCTCTCTTTCCAATCTTCCCGTTGGTACCACCCTTCGTGATGTCTGACAACAACAAGTGGCAGACATGGACCGCACAAGGAAGCCAAGTGATGTGGCTGTACTTGAGCTCCTCCTTTGCGAGAAGCTTAGAAGCAGCCACATACGCCGACGCGGAGTTCGTGCAAATGACGTTGACATTGTCGACACTGAACTTGTCGAATACGTCCTTCCATCGCTCGACCACGACCTCGACGTTTTCCTCAACAGCACCGTCCCACTGTGTCGTCCTGAAAAGGTACGCTCCTGTGGGTCCAGCAGCAAGGAAGTTAACTATCTGGTTGCTCATGATGGACTTGCGACCATCTGTAAGGATAGTCGCTCCTGTCGTCGCAATGTCCTTGCGGACAGCCGCCACCAAGTCCGCCACAATTTGCTGCTGCTCAGGGATGCCTTCCATCGAAATGGTACTGTGTGTGAGCAACGCAGGATGCGTGTACAGTGGACACTCAAGCAAGTGCTTCCTCAGTCTATGGTACTTTGGCCGCCTCGCCGCCTCGAGTGGAAAGTTGCTCACGAAGTACCACTGCAGGAAGTAGTAAAAATCTCGTTGCCAGACCGGATCAAAGGCCTCGACCATAGAATTCGGTCGAAGGACTCTGCTCTTTTTCGGCACCGGGTGTGCCGGCGGAAACCCCGTGACAATCTTCTTCGCCTTCCTTTTTCTCTTGTTCGATCTCGTTGCCTCCATCATCGCTCTGGCAGGCCCCTCTTGGCCTCGACGCCCACCGGCCATCAGCCCTTCATCAAGAGATGCTCCAATGTCTGCGTCATGATCGTCGTCGTCGTCGGTGTCGTCGTCATCCTCGCCTGGGGTGTTGTCATTGTCGATGGCCTTCTCCCGTCTCATCTTGCCCCTCGCGCGCTCCTCCTCTGTTCGCACGTCCATGAGTGGCATATAACTGTCATCATCATCCTCTCGACCCTCGATTGCCCTCCTCTCATCCTCTCTGTCCTCCTCCTCCTCCCCGTCGTGCACCCTCCCCGAAGTACATCTGTTGTCTCGGAACCCACGAGACTTTTGGAAGTCGAGGTTCTTCCGACAATGGCTCTGATCGAAGGTGTATGTTGTCTTATTCCATATCTCCGCCAGCTGCTTCACTGATACTTTAGGGCAATTGTTCTTGATGGTGAAGTGCACAGCTGCCTTCGTCTAACTGCCCTGAAACCCCTGGCCACACAGTTTGCACTCCATGAGGACATTCCCATTGGAGTTCTGCAGCGTTTGGCCCTTCATGATCCACTTGAACCCGCAAAACTTCAGCTCCGCCGCCTTCTCTTTGTCCTTACTGACAGGGACAAACAGCTGGTCACCCCTCCCCTTCTTGGGCCCCATTGTCGACAGACCAGAGACGACCAAGAACAAACCCTGCCGGCCGCAAAAGAAACATCCCTTAACCAGACCCCCCCCCCCAAAAAAAAAAGAAACTTGGCCCGTACAACCGCCCAACGGACTAAGCGCACAGCGCGTGCATACGGGATCATCAGCTTCCACACGTTATCGTCGCCGTCGTCGCCTCTCTCGGGGTCGTCGTCGTTATCGGGGTCTCTCACTCTCTCTCTCTCTCTCTCTCTCTCTCTCTCTCTCTCTCTCTCTCTCTCTCTCTCTCTCTCTGAATACGAGAAGAAGAAGAAGAAGAAGAAGAAGAAGAAGAAGAAGAAGAAGAAGAAGAAGAAGAAGAAGAAGAAGAAGAAGAAGAAAAAGAAGAAGAGGATGAAAGACGAAAGAAGAAGAAGAAGTAAAAGTAGAAGTAGCAATGAAAAAAGAAGAAGAAGAAAAAAAAGGCGAAGTAATGGACAATGAAAGAAGAAGAAGAAAAAAAAAAAGGCGAAGTAATGGAAGAAGAAGAAAAGAAGAAGAAGACGAAAGAAGAAGAAGAAGGAGAAGAAGAAGTAATGGAAGAAAAGAAGGCAAAAACGAAGGCGAAGTAATGAAAAAAGAAGAAGAAGGAAGAAGAAGGAGAAGAAAAAAGAGAAGAAGAAAGAAAAAGAAATAAGTGAGGTTATAATCTCTCTCTCTCTCTCTCTCTCTCTCTCTCTCTCTCTCTCTCTCGCGAGCGCGCGCGAGCATGCATGCACGAGATGGAATCTCTCTCTCTGTCTGTCTCTCTCTCTCTCACACACACACACACAAAAATAAATAAAGAAAAAGAAAAAGAAGAAGACGAAAGATTCGGAAAGAAGAAGGAATAAAAAGACGAAGAAAAAAACGACGAAAAACACAAACAAGAAGAAGAGGAAGAAGAAGAAGAAGAAGATGTTGAAGAGGAAGATAAAAGAAGATGATGATTGAAAAAAACAACGAAAAAAAAAAACGAAAAGAATAAGAAGGAGAAGTAGAAGAAGAAAAAAGCAGCAGAAGATAGATGAAGAAGAAAGAAGAAAGAGCAGAAGATAGAGGAAGAGGAAAGAAGAAAGAATAGAAGAAGAAGAAAAACAACAAGAAGAAGAAGAATAAGAAGAGGAAGATGTTGAAGAGAGACAAAGAAAAAAATAATAAAACGTGGTTGACCTAGAATGGATGGGAAAAAAAAAGGAGAAGAAATGGAAGAGGAAAAAAGAAGTAGATGAAGAAGATAAAGACGGAGAAGAAAGAAGAAGTATACGAAAGTGGGGAGGAAGGGTTTACCTCTCTCTTTCCATGAAGTCTCTCTCTCTCTCTCTCTCTGAAAATGTATGGTGCAGGTAGATCGATCCCTGCAGAGCTCTCTCTCTCTCTCTCACCTCCTCCGCTGTAGCCACACCCTGCGTCGCCTCGCCGAGTGTATAGGCATAAGGCGCGTCCGTACGCAGGCACCCGTATGCATGCCGCGTATGTACGGCGTCGTCGTGTACGTATGGCAGGGCTTGTATGACAGGACGGGCGCGCGACGACCGTCTTCTTCATCGTTGTCGCTGTCGTTCTTCGTCGTCCCCCCTGCGACAGTCGTCGTCGGCGGCGGCGGCCTTTTCTCTCTCTCTCTCTCTCTCTCTCTCTCTCTCTCTCTCTCTCTCTCTCTCTCTCTCTCTCTCAGTGTGTTGGCGCCCGCATCAGCCTCCCGCACTCTTGCGTGGGCGACAACAGAAAGTGTGTGTGTTGATGCTCACAATCTCCCTTTTATGTAGTTGTCAGCAGGCCCCTCCCCAGAGGCCCCTAATTCCACCGGCCTTGGAATGATCCTGAAGTATTTTTGAAAGGCCCCTGATTCCAGTTGGGGGGGGGGATTGCCCTCCCCCTCCCCTGCCCGCCCTCCGCAACTGCCCTGGCCCCTGCGAGGCTCGAGCCCTGCGAGAACGCAGACAAATTTTTTTTTTTTTAATATTAAAAAAAATCAATTTTTTTTCAAAAATACGAGAGGGCCCTTCGACACCCCTTATACCMCCCCAGGCCCTCAACCCCCCCCCCCGCACCCCCACAACGACCCCTAGCACGTTCGGACGGGAACCGTCCGTCCGTCCGTACTGCGACCCCCCGTACGACGTACGACTACGACACGCTGTTGAACAGATGAGCAGTGAACTTCAAATGGCTTTGGGGAATCCGAGTCATCCTGAAGCCAACGGCAAAGTGGAACAGATGAACCGCGTAGTGCCCGCTCTAAGTGAAGGTTGCTCTGAGTTATCCACTTGAGGCCTTCTTTCCACATTTTGCATATGTGGGGTATACGACAGTTGCAGCACACCAGTTGGTTACTTAGAACCGTGAGCCTTCAAAACTCTTTCCAAAAGCAAGAGTTGCGTTGTACAACTGAGTCTAGGGCTCAGGCGGTGGTGCCCTGGGCGTAGGCTGTGTGAGGCCGACCCATCACGGACTAGCTACTGGCGAATGAGAATGCAACATTGTTGTCACATGTGCACCGCGAGCAAATGAATAATATGCGACAAACACTTGGAGCCTGGAGAATTGTCTGAATGAGCCCAACTGTAAAGGGCCCGGACCTGTAACAGCAAAGGTGGGCCTTGGCGAAGACACTGGGGCCGGACTGGAAGGTACTCGAAACTCGTCCAGCCAGGCCCACACCGCCAAACACAGGGCCACACTTTCCATAAAGGACAGTGCGCTGCCCAGACAATGACATTGTGGCCTAGGAAGGCATAGCGGCCATGCTATTGAATTGCCAAGCGTTGTTGTGATAGAGCTAGCCCACCAGGGCGCACGTGGGCGCAAGAAGTGAGAGAGCGTTGTGGTGGCAGCGGGCGCTTAACGACTATAGTCAGGCCGAGTGTGGGGGAGGCAGGTGATGGCGATGGTTGTCTTCAAGTTCGAGTAGGAGGCGTTGTCGAGCGCATCGATCCGGCACCACACCAGGGCAGCGCGGGACCCTCCCGGCCGCGTCACGCACGAGTTGGTCTAAATCCTCGTCTCAAATATATATGGAGCTTCCGCAAGCTGCTCCGGCCGAGTGCGCCAACTATACCTCTCGCGAGCCCCTACAACAAGATAGGGCCTACGCGAGGCACGATTTACCTATACCTTACGGGAGCTGTCACCTCTCTTCGGTGGGCGTATCCCCGCCGAGTTACCAGTCCACAGTACGAAAGCTACAATCGCAGAGGTGGACCAGCCGAGGGCGTTTCTCGTTCGCTGTAGCATAGGGGGTACGCGCGGTAATACGCCTCTATCGGACCCGCACACGAACCGTCGTCTTGGGGGGCTGAAGTCCCAAGTGTGGCTCGACGTTGGTCGACTAGGACGCATCCCACACACCACGCGCACACCACTTTACGAACAAAAAAATAAAACACGCCCACATGCAAATACGAAACAACACAACACAAACAATGCGACAACGCTCATAGCCCCTTGGTAGCCGTCCCATAACTCTCTGATGCGAAAATCGAGTAGGCGTCGCGCGCGAGACTTTGTATAAAACCGCGGGGACGCAGGGATGACTTATATCGGCTCGCAATGCAATCGTACGCAAGCGGTCACAATGATGACGTACCATGTAGTACCCATTCTTATGCGGTCCTCGTTAATCTCAAGGTCGCATTCGACACTCAAGTGTTGGCTGACAAACTCCTTGAGGGTTAATCTTTTGACGCCGGACAACCGCTATGCGCGGTTGAAGACCACACACCCTCTTCTGCACCCTTATGCAGAGTGGGTGGTACACAGGTCCATACCTGTGGTTGTGGTCGTCTCTCGCGGCCCTAGGGGTAAGTCCTCCCTGGGCCTGGGCGAAGGTCAAGGGGTTTGACTTTGACGGCTGCTACGGACTACAACGTCCAACCATACAACTCTAAAAAGCAAGGGCAGGAGGAGATCCCCCTTTTATCTCAAGGCATAATCTGACTAACCCTTATGCACAATCACAGTATGCCTCGCAAAATATTCAGGGCACTCATAAATATATGAGGTTTAATTATATAGGACGATCACTTCTCACAGTCACAGCGGGGCTTCTCTCAACCACATATGTATGTAATCGCAGACAATCATATTCAGAGTTCGAACCACAAACACAACTGCAATCACATCAAAGATTCATCCAGAAATCCACACACTACACGGGGTTAAATTCAATTATTATCTGTACTCATACCCCTTGCTTTAGCCATGCAAGCCTCAACCTCAGCGCAACCTCCCCGCAATAAAAATACTCAGTATCTTCGTTAAATGGCCATTCAATAAAGTCCGGGTAAAAACACAACAAATCAAATGAACCACAGGGCTAAAGCCTTTAGGTTAAGTGGCAGGAGTGAATGAGAGTTGAATCGTAAACCGACGAATCGGCAACCGACCTGTTATCTGTGATAACAGAAGATAATCCTCAAGGAATCAGGCTGAATCTAGTCCTGATTTTGAATCAGACACCCCAAAGGACCTGTTATCTGTGATAACAGAAGATAATCCTCAAGTGATCAGACTGAATCTAGTCCTGATCTTGAATCAGACACCCCAAAGGACCTGTAACACAAGATAGGTCAAATGTCCAAGCTAAATCATCAGCATATGGGGGATAAACCTCCATAGCACATTCTCACTCAAAGCTACCTGCCAATTAAGTCCAAGCTTACCTCTAAGCCAGCGCCCAAAGCAAAAATAGACTAATGGCAGAATCTTCCTTATTCAGGGTGGATCGCCAGAATAGCCACCTGTCAAAATATAATCTATCTCTTTTAAACTAAGAAAATTTCGGCAGCGCTTCCCGTAGGAAAAATGTCTTTCCGGAATATATATAGGCTCAAATATGGAAAACAGAAATAATCTCCGACTCTGGAAGGTCAAATTTTGTCTAACTCCCTGAATTAGTAGAAATTTGGGCAGCACTATCTTTAGAAAGGGAGACTTCCCAGATTTATACTAAGTCAGATATGAACTCAAAAGAAAACTTGAGTTTAATTTTAGACCAGATTTAACTAACTCCTTAGTTTTGCAGAAATTTCGGCAACACTCCCTTTAGAAAAGTGCTTTTCCAAAATTTATACAAAGCTAAGTCCAGATTTTAAGAATAA